AAAAGAAACAAGGGGAAAAAAGAAGGAAGGAAGAAAAGAGAAAGGAGCAAAGAGAGAGAAAGCCAAGAGAAAGCAAAAGAAACAAGGGGAAAAAAGAAGGAAGAAGAAAAGAGAAAGGAGCAAAGAGAGAGAAAGACAAGAGAAAGCGAAAGAAACAAGGGGGAAAAGGAAGGAAGGAAGGAAGGAAGGGCAAAGAGAGAAAGTGGGCGAGAAAGGGAAAACAAAGCCGGCAACACTCACGCATCAGCGTGCTGAAGGCGACCAGGGCCAGCAGCGCCTGCACAAAGACCCCGAAGCGGTCGAGCAGCGCCCCGGGGCCGCAGCCCTGCGGGCGGATCCTGACGCGCGTCAAGTTGGGCGCCGGGAGCTCGTCGGAGACCAGCGCCATCCCGGACCGAAGGCCAGCAGCCCGGAGCCGCGCAGCAGCAGCAGCAGCAGCAACAGAAGGAAGCAGCGGCTCAGACGCGCCTGCGGACCCGGGACTCGCTCCCCGGCCGGCTCAAAGTAGCGACGCTTCCTCGGCGAAGGGCTAATAAGGCTCCCCCGGGGAGGGCGCGGCTCAGAGGGAGGCAGCCACGCCCGCCTCGCGGCCGGAGCTTTGGGCTTGTAGGATGCGGGGTCCATTTTAATCAGATTGTGGGGTGGGGTGGCGCCGGGGGATCCCCTCTGCTTCCAAGCCAAGCCACGACCCGCGGGAATCGGCTGGGTGCTTCCCCACGACAGTTTGATCCGCGACTGAATGAACCACTCATTTCCTCTGGACCCGGGTTGCATTTGCTGCAAAGGCTGGTTCGCCATGCACGGGACTGGTTTTTGGGGGAGGGAGGGAGGAAGGGGGGGGTCTTCTTCTCGTAGCCCCGGATTTGGATTTGAATTTGGGGACCCCGGGGCTGCAGAGCCTTGCGTGCTGCAAAGCGCGGAGAGAATCAAAAGGGCAACCCAGTCTCCATCGATCTACATAATTGATTGGCGGATCAATTTCTGACGGCTCGGAGTTTTTCCAGACGCGCTGGGGCAGGGGTAGGCAACCTCAGCTCTTTTATGACTCATGGACTTCAACACCCAGAATTCCTGAGCCAGCTATGTTGAAGTCCCTGAGTCATAAAAGAGCCGAGGTTGCCTACCCGGCTGAACCACGGATGGAGCCTCCATATGGAGAGGAAATATATCTTTGGGCCTGAAAAGGAGGACTACACCGTCCCAGCAGGGCAGGGGAGTCCAAAGTTGGCAACTTTTAAGACTTGTGGACTTCAACTCCCAGAATTCCCCAGCCAGCAGGACTGGCTGAGGAATTCTGGGAGTTGAAGTCCACAAGTCATAAAAGGGCCAAGTTTGAAGACCCCTGAGGTAAGGGAAGGCTGTTTCTCTACCTTGGCTCCTATTTAATGGAATAACCATGACTGACTGAGGAATTTTGTGAGTTAAAGTCCACAAGTTTTAAAGCGGCTAAATTTGGAGACCGCTGCAGTGGGGTTTACTAGCTGTTGGGATAGTGATGGGTCCTTGGTGCTCCCAGAGCTTGGTTGTCTTCTTGCAGACGTTTCATGACCCAACTAGGTAACATCATCAGTGCTAGAAGGGAGTGGGGTTTACTCTTATTTTATATTCTAGCACAGGGGTCTTCAAACTTGGCCACTTTAAGACTTGTGGACTTCAACTCCCAGAATTCCTCAGCCACACTCTGTAGGCATGCCTGGCTGAGGAATTCTGGGAGCTGAAGTCCACAAGTCTTAAAGTAGCCAAGTTTGAAGACCCCTGCGCTAGTGGCTTGCCCTGTCAGGATTGGTGGGGGTGGTCAAGAAAACTATGGGAAACTTTCAACCTTCCAGATGTTGCTGAACTACAGTTCCCAGAATTCCTTGAGCATTCCATATAACACTGGAAGAAATGCTGGACCGGTCTGATAAAATTTCTTCCTTGCCACCTTGGAGAAAAGTGTGGCTAGCAACTCAGGATCGGAAAAGAAGGTTAGGGGAGTCTGCAAGATGTGGGCAAAAAAGTCAAGATGGTGCCTAGGATTCATTAAAACCCATAAAATGGGTGGAGCTTCAATCACACTAGTGTGGCCCCCGCCTTACTTTTTTGACCACACTCTGTAGACACCCTAGAGCCAATTCTGGATTTTGTAGCATTTTCTATGCTCCCACAACATGTCGGTCCATGCTTAATTGAATCATGGTTTATTGAATTAACCCACCTTTTCCACTTAGATATCGTATCTCCAGATGGCTAGGAATGATGGGAAATGGAGTCCAAATCATCTGGAGGGACCCAGTCTAAATTCATTCCCTCTTCCTTTTCCTTCCTCATTTTGGCAAACATGTTTCAAGCACGATTTGCTATAACTGTTGCAACATTCCAACATGCATGATCAGAATTTGAGTGCTTGGCAACTGGCTTGTACTTACAACAGTTGCAGTATCCCGGGGTCACGTGATCTCCATTTGCGACCTTCCCAGCCAGTTTCCGACACACAAAGTCAATGGGGGAAGCCGGACCCGCTTAATGACCACGTTTTTCGCTTAATGACTGCATGATTCACTTAACAGCTGCAAGTGACTTGTTAATAACTGTGACAAAACAGGTAAAATCAGGCACGCTCGTGTAA